CACAGAAGTTGTGAATTCTAGTTTATTTTACATGTTAAAAATTGTTTTGGCAAAGGAATAATTATATTGTTCAATTCTGTGCTTCCTAACCTGAATATCAAAACCAAAATCAACAAAATAGTAGGAAGGCAAATTAAGAGCTTACCCCAAGAAAAAACAGTATAATAATCATATGCATCCAAATGAAGTATTAATTTATTAATAAACTTAAATCCCTCTGTTATGAAATTATTCTAACAAATTCAAATGACTACTAATAAAAAACAACAGCATTCTCACTTTCTCTGCTGAAGACCTGGATTAAATTCAAGCCAATGGACCCTATGTACAGCCACCACCTTTATGTCAATGAAGGTTTGCATCATAAAAATAAATGTACCACATAATTATTTAAAGAAATTCAGAATAATTCTTAGATACAATTCAATGAATAATTGTGATTTTGCCATCACATAAAATCAGAAATGCAAGAGATTTTCTTTCATCTGGTAAAAGCAATATACTAGAAACCTATTTTTATACCTACATAATAGAAAAATTTTAATCTAAACACATAATCCAGACTAAAATGGACTAGGAAGAAAGTCATAATGACTAACTTCCAAAAATCTTTCAATGAAAACCCTATGGATGACAATAGTCAGTCCCCAAACATCCATCGGGATGGTACAAGACCAGGCAGCATTTTGGTCTGTTGTGCATGGGGTCTCCATGGGTCTGGGGTCAACATGATGGAAATTAACAACTATTAAAATTGAGAGTCAATGCAAAGGAGGAAGAGCCCCCCCCCCCCCATCAAGATGGATTGATAAGCAATAGTAGAAATGGACTTAAACATAGTAACAATTGTGAGGACCAGGCAGCATTTTCTTCTGCTGTATTTTGTTCACTATGAATTGGAATAAACTCCATGGCACCCAGCAACAATAACAATTATGAAAAATTATTTAATGGAGATTTTTATATGAGGGTAAATAAGAAAGTATCACAAACATTAATGGGTTTATACTATACAAAATGTGTTAAAACATTTCTAAGCCACCAGTACTCATCTGTCAGTTTGTCTTACTGTGGTGGC